AGATCAGCTTGAGATGTTTTTGAGTTCCATCTGGCCTCCTTCATAGAGGCATTAGACTTGCAGTTCACCTTCTTCTAACCTGCAATTGGCATCCTTCTATGCTGCAATCCACTTTGGCACTACCGTCAACTCTTATGGAGGGAAAAGCATTTCTAAAGAAAACAAAAGTATTCAAACTCTCCCTTTCAAATGAGGAGAAAGTAAACATCATATGATAGTTCCAAGTCAGATCAATTCCAAGGCAATTTTAATTTTTTGGAGTAGTCAAACTCAGAAACAGTGAGATGGTGTTGAACTTTCAATGGTAATTCTGAAGAAAATCAAGGTAATACTTAGATAGTTAAGTCTAAAGACACATCCAAACTGTAGTCATTGAGTGTATGATGGCAACCGCAGCAGTACATCACTGACACGTCATCAGAAGTGTGTTTATTGGCCTTGAGGAAAATGGCCAGTATGAGGTAGGCTCAGTGGCAAGACCATCTGTGGAAGCCGGCTGTTAGAAGGCAGTGGCCATGGGCCCCCACTGATAGGCACTGTTTACTTGGTTTGTTGAATCACCTATGCTACTTTATGTATGTAGTCATCCTTTAAATCATTATTATCAAGTTTCCCCACTCACCAACTGGTCCAAAGGAAACCAGAACAAAACCCACAGGGTACCATAACCCAATTCTGCCCTAATGGGGGTGGGGGGTCATTTATTTGTGACCCTGCAGAAGCAGTCTAATCAATTTCCTCAATCAAAATATCCCCATATTATCTTCTTGCAATAGAAGTGACATATAGATTATGGCCCCTGGACTGACTTTTGCCCAGGCCCAACAGAAGTTTTTCACTTGTTCCATCTTATAGCACATCCATATTCTGTGCTTTCTGCCATTAAACAGTTCCATCCGTTCAGTTCTCCAGCCTATTTGTGGGGAAGATTTGAAGCTTTAAATGTTTCTATTTTTAATCCTGGTGCTAGCGGGTTTTAGAGTTATTTTGTGAACTGACAGCGGCAGATTATACTACAATTATGTTATTGCTCTGTTTCATAATAACAGTGTTTTCAGTTTTCCTAAAATAGAATCGTCTGTATAAACTGGCAAATGACCCTGTAGCACTGGAATATTACTATGACATATCCATAAAACCGTCTAGGTTTAAACTAACTTCTAATTTTACAAAAACAAAGAACGCCACAAATCACGGTCTCTGGAAGAGTTATCTATTGTCTTTAAAGCAAACCTGTCATATAAATTAAAATGAACCTACCATCCTCTGCTAGGGACCTCTGAGGTCTCCTACCATTCCAATTTCTGCTGCCATCAAAATCTTGGTCTTTCCATGTATAGTGTAACACCTGAAGGTGGCCGCTGTAATTCAACCAGTTTGTTCCCATGATTAGTACAGAGGCAGCCAGGCACACAGCTACATTTCAATCATACTGGCTCAATGATTCGTCTAGAACAGTGTTTCTTAACCTTCTTCCAGTCAAGGCACCCTTTAACCTCTTCATGCCGGCCGCACACAAATGTGCGGCCTCCCGGCGTCTGGGCCTAGAGGCTGAGCGGCCGCACATTTGTGTTCAGGTAAGAAAAAAAACATATGTGCTGAGAGCGTGCGCCCTGCGTGCTCCAAGCACACATGTCTGCTACTCACGGAAAGGTCCCGGTCTGCTCTTTCGATCGGGACCTTTCCTGATCATGTGACCTCCGTGACGACACGTCATGGCGGTCACATGATCCCGAAACCCTGCCCCGCCTCCCAGCTTCTGAAACTCTTAAAGGGCCAGGAGGAGCAGGCGGGAAGGGGTTACAATTATGGACAGTCCTAAGGCACCCTTTAAAATTATGGACAGTCTTGAGGCACCTCATTCTAAACACTGGTACTGAGTAGGATTCCAATGTTTTGTTCTCCCTCAGTTTTTTCTCCATCACTGAGCTAATGGGACCCCAGCACTGATGGAGAGAGGCAGGGGGGAGGGTCAAACTAGGATGGTGTGCAGACAACTGACATCCTCCTTATCAACTGATGATGTCATTGGTTGTCAGGAAGCCAGCAGCTAGAAGGTCGTAATGGTGCACAATGAAAACCTGTGGCTTTGTGCAACTACAATGCAAGCTTGTTCCATCTGCTGGCTTGTATATAAGTTTTGGGTAATTTTTAGAAATTTTGCCAAGGTACCCTTGAAACCTCAAGGCACGAAAGGCTGGTCTAGAGGATGTCTTTTTAGGTGTTTTATTATTCAGGAACTTGAATGAGGTGTAGGGTAGTATGGGATATTTCAGATTCACTAAATACACTGCTCAATAAAATTAAAGGAACACTTTTTAATCAGAGGAAAGCATCAAGTCAGTTAAACTCCTGGGATATTGATCTGGTCAGTTAAGTAGCAAAGGGGGGTTGTTAATCAGTTTCAGCTGCTTTTGGTGTTAATGAAATTAACAACAGGTGCACTAGATGGGCAACAATGAGACGGCTCCCAAAACAGGAATGGTTTTACAGGTGGAGGCCACTGACAGTTTTTTCCTACTCATTTCTTCTGACTGTTTTGCACTAGTTTTGCATTTGGCTAGGGTCAGTGTCACTACTGGTAGCATGAGTCAATACCTGGACCCAACAGAGGTTGCTCAGGCAGTCCAACTCCTCCAGGATGGCACATCAATACATGCCATTGCCAGAAAGTTTGCTGTGTCTCCCAGCACAGTCTCAAAAGCATGGAGAACATTCCAGGAGACAGGCAGTTACTATAGGATAGCTGGACAGGACCATAGAAAGTCCTTATCCCATCAGCAGGGCCGGTATCTGCTCCTTTGTACAAGGAGGAACAGGATGAGCACTGCCAGAGCCCTACAAAATGACCTCAGCAAGCCACTGGTTTGAATGTCTTTGACCAAACAATCAGAAACAGACTTCATGAGTGTGGCTTGAGGACTCTATGTCTTCTAGTGGGCCTGTGCTCACTGCCAGCATCATAGAGCTCGATTAGCATTTGCCATTGAACACCAGAATTGGCAAGCCCTCCACTCGCACCCTGTGCATTTACACAGATGAGAGCAGGTTCACCCTGAGCACACGTGGAAGATGTGAAAGGGTCTGGAGAAGCCGTGGAGAACATTATGCTGCCTATAACATCATTCAGTGGTGGGTCATTGATAGTCTGAGGGAGGCATATCCATGGAGGGACGCAAAGACCTCTACAGGCTAGACAATGGCACCCTGACTGCCGTTAGGTATCGGGATGAAATTCTTGGACCCATTGACAGACTCTACGCTAGTGCAGTGGGTCCTGGGTTTCTCCTGGTGCATGTCAATGCCCAGCCTCATGTGGCGAGAGTATGCAGGCAGTTCCTAGAGGATGAAGGATTTGATACCACTGAATGGACCCCACACTCGACTGACCTAAATCCAGTAGAACACCTCTGGGATATCATGTGTTGGTCCACCTGACGATGCCAGGTTGCACCTCAGACTGTCCAGGAGCTCGTCCAGCCAGAAGCCAAATTCCTGAGAAGGTGGACGGGGGAGGAGCATAAACATGGCGCTGTGAGCAGCATGAGCTCCAGACGCCAGACTGTCAGGGCTCCCAGGTATGACCAGAGGTGTGTGACTGAAGCAGGGAAACGCAGACCTCAGATATGTTATAAACAATATAATTTATTAACACTAACAGTACAAACATAAATGCAGTGCAATACTAAACATAATACGGTGCAAACAAACCAAACCAAACACCCACAGATAACAGTGTATACAAGCAAGCGTCGTCAGGCAGGCCGGGTCAATATCAATTGGGCAGGTAGGTACAGGGGGAGCAAGCGGAGAATGGTCGGGGGTCACAGGCCAGGTTCAGCAGGTAGCAAGCAGCATAGTACAGAGGGTCAGGCAGAGGGATGGTCCAGGTCACAAGCCAGGGATCAGAACAGGTAGCAAGCAGCGTAGTACAGAGGGTCAGACAGAGGGATGGTCAGGGTCACAAGCCAGGATCAGAGCAGGAGAAGTCAGCAAAGGAACAGAAACAGGATGCAGGACAGATACAGGGCCCAGGACAAACACAACACCAAGGCAGAGTCTGCAAGTCTGGCCATCCCTTAAAATACACCAGTATCATCAGTTCCAGGTGTTAGCTGGCTGAAAGGTTGAGTCTCTGATTGCTGGGAGCACCCGCTGGCCAGCCCTGGTACTGCAGATCAAAAGGCAGGTGAGTCCCACCATTGCTGGCCAGTCCATTCCTAACAGTACCCCCCCCCAAGGAGCGGCCTCAGGACGCTCCAAACAGTCCTTAGCTGGGCAAAATGTTCCACCGCCCGGGTCTGGCAACTGGCGGGATATCAAAGACTGGCACACCCGGGCAGGACTCCGGGCAGCGGCACACCGGGCTGGACTCCGGGCAGAGGCACATCGAGCAGAGGCACACCGGCAGAGGCACATCCGGGCAGGCACTCCGGGCAGAGGCACATCGGGCAGAGGCACACATCGGGCAGGACTCCGGGCAGAGGCACATCGGGCAGAGGCACATCGGGCAGGACTCCGGGCAGAGGCACATCGGGCAGGACTCCGGGCAGAGGCACATCGGGCAGGGACTCAGCAAGGCAGAGGACCACATTCGGGGCCCCCAGGCGAAGCAGCAGGCAGCGGGCCACCAGGCGGAGCAGCAGGCACCGGGCCCCCAGGCGGGGCGAGCAGGAGGCAGCATCGGGCCCCCCGGGGGCGGGCGGGTGCGAGGGCATCGGTGCCCCCAGGCGGGCGGGGAGCGCCGGGACAGGTCTCGGGCCCCCAGGCGGGGCGACGGGCATCCGGGCCCCCAGGCGGGGCGACGGTCTTCGGGCCCCAGGCGGGGCGGCGGGCGCCGGACCTCCAGGATGGAGCGACAGGTCTGGGCCCTCAGGCGGAGCGGCGGGCGCCGGACCCCAGCGTGAGCGACAGGTCTCGGGCCCTCAGGAGGAGCGGGGGCGCCGGACCTCCCAGGCGGAGCGACAGGTCTCGGGGCCCTCAGGCGGAGCGGCGGGCGCCGGACCTCCAGGAGGAGCGACAGGTCTCGGGCCCTCAGGCGGAGCGGCGGGCGCCGGACCCCCAGGTGGAGCGACAGGTCTCGGGCCCTCAGGCGGAGCGGCGGGCGCCGGACCCCCAGGCGGAGCGACAGGTCTCGGGCCCTCAGGCTTTTTTTAGAGCGGCGGGGCGCCGGACCCCCAGGAGGAGCGACAGGTCTCGGGCCCTCAGGCGGAGCGGCGGGCGCCGGACCCCCAGGAGGAGCGACAGGTCTGGGCCCTCAGGCGGAGCGGCGGGGCGCCCCCAGGTGGAGCGACAGGTCTCGGGGCCCTCAGGCGGGTTAGCGGCGGGCGCCGGACCCCCAGGGCGGAGCGGCAGGTCTCGGGCCCTCAGGCGGAGCGGCGGGCGCCGGACCCCCAGGAGGAGCGACAGGTCTCGGGCCCTCAAGGGAGCGGCGGGCGCGCCGGACCCCCAGGAGGAGCGACAGGTCTCGGGCCCTCAAGCGGAGTGGCAGGTGCCGGACCCCCAGGCGGAGCGACAGGTCTCGGGCCCTCAGGCGGAGCGACAGGTCTCGGGCCCCCAGGCGGGGCGGCGGGCGCCGGATCCCCAGGCGGAGCGGCGGGCGCTGGACCCCCAAGCGGAGCATAAACAGGTCTCGGGCCCAGGCGGAGCGGCGGGCACCGAGACACCAGGCACGACAGTGGGCTCCGAGTCAACTGGTATGACCGCAGGCACTGGGTCAGACATTGGATGGTCTGGCTGGACAGCGGGCATCGGGTCACCAGGCATCAGGTCATTTGGCTCGACAGCGGGCACCGCATCATCTGGCAAGGCAGTGGGCTCCGAGTCAACTGGTATGACCGCGGGCACTGGGTCAACATTGGATCGTCTGACCGGACAGCGGGCATCGGGTCACCAGGCATCAGGTCATTTGGCTCGACAGCGGGCACCGCGTCATCTGGCAAGGCAGTGGTCTCCGAGTCAACAGGCACGACAGGTGGGCAGGGTCATCAGGTACCGGATTGTCTGGCTCGACAGCGGGCATCGGGTCATCAGGTATGACAGCGGACACTAGGTCACCAGGCATCAGGTCATTTGGCTTGCCAGCGGGCACCGCGTCATCTGGCAAGGCAGTGGGCACCGAGTCACCAGGTACGACAGCGGGCTCTGAGTCAATTGGCACGACAGCGGGCACCGGATCATCTGGATCAACAGCGGGCATCGAGTCAACTGGCCTAATAGGATCGTCAAGCTGGATCAGTTCATCATGCTGGGTAGAGGCATTAGGCCGAGTAGAGGCAATCAGGCCGAGTAGAGGCATCAGGCCGAGTAGAGGCATCAGGCCGAGTACAGGCATCAGGCCGAGTACAGAGCATCAGGCCGAGTACAGGCATCAGGCCGAGTTAGAGGTAGAGGCATCAGGCCGAGTAGAGGCTTCGGCCGAGTAGAGGCTTCAGGCCCGTAGAGGCTTCAGGCCGCGGAGAGGCTTCAGCCGAGGAAGGCTTTCAGGCCGAGGAGGCTTCAGGCCGCGTAGAGGCTTCAGGCCGAGTACAGGCATCAGGCCGAGTACAGGCATCAGGCCGAACCACGGAAGGCAGGCTCACGGTTTGGATACTGGCAGGATGGTATTGGTTGGAAAGAATTTTCGCTTTTTTCTGGTTTTAACTACTGGAGCACTGCAAGTAAACGCAGGTCTGCAAACGAATGGAGCAGCTGGAGACAGAGAAGAACTGGAGGATGGAACAGGAGAGGGAGCAGTTGCTACAGAAAGTTTTTTTTTACAGGGTTTAAAGGCAGGATAGGTGCAGCGAGTGGGAACAGGGTACTGACATGCGGTAGATAGCCAAGTATACTGGGCTGTAACTGGAGGAGCTGGTGGGAATACAGGAGTAGAGTTAGAAGCAGGACTGGGTCTTTGTAAGCTGACTGAGGCTGGGTGCAAACAAATCTGTCCATGTCTGCAGTAGGGGGTTGAACAAAGCTGAGCTTACACAAAGCCTGTCTGGTCAATGACTGCACTGCGTTTATACAATCTCTCAGTGTCTGTGGTGAACATGTGGAATAATAACGCTCCAGAAAGTAACCCACATCATCCTCTAATAACCACACCAGGGACTCTACCTGGTCTGCACTAAATGGTGGCAAAAATTCATCCCTGCATTCGGGGGAACCAGATGAAACCAACTCTGCACAAACCTCAATCAATGGCTGCACCTCAGAGAACACTGTGCCTGATCTACTAGAACATGAGCGAGCCGTATACATTCTAGCAATTCATCCCGGGTATACTCCTTCAGAGTTTGATAAGCATACTCCCTGTCATCAAACACTAGCAGATATAAATACTCAACCTCATCAAGATCCATCCTTCCCATCAACAAGCCAAGATGGCTTCCCCTGTGCAGCCACTTCTGGTCAGGATTGGCCTTGGTGTAATGTCAGGGCTCCCAGGTATGACCAGAGGTGTGTGACTGAAGCAGGGAAACGCAGACCTCAGATATGTTATAAACAATATAATTTATTAACACTAACAGTACAAACATAAATGCAGTGCAATACTAAACATAATACGGTGCAAAACAAAAACCAAACCACCCACAGATAAAAGTGTATACAAGCAAGCGTCGTCAGGCAGGCCGGGTCAATATCAATTGGGCAGGTAGGTACAGGGGGGAGCAAGCGGAGAATGGTCGGGGTCACAGGCCAGGTTCAGCAGGTAGCAAGCAGCATAGTACAGAGGGTCAGGCAGAGGGATGGTCCAGGTCACAAGCAGGGATCAGAACAGGTAGCAAGCAGCGTAGTACAGAGGGTCAGACAGAGGGATGGTCAGGGTCACAAGCCAGGATCAGAGCAGGAGAAGTCAGCAAAGGAACAGAAACAGGATGCAGGACAGATACAGGGCCCAGGACAAACACAACACCAAGGCAGAGTCTGCAAGTTGGCCATCCCTTAAATACCACCAGTATCATCAGTTCCAGGTGTTAGCTGGCTGAAAGGTTGAGTCTCTGATTGCTGGGAGCACCCGCTGGCCAGGCCCTGGTACTGCAGATCAAAAGGCAGGTGAGTCCCACCATTGCTGGCCAGTCCATTCCTAACACAGACAATCTCTAACATCCCGTGAAACCCGGTGGGAGCGGAGTGGACAGGAGAGCCGTAGCAGCATTGGGTCTGGGTGCTGAGCTGGTCTCGGAGGTAGCGGTTCGGTCCAGTGCCATTGGGAGAGATGGTGGGGCGGTGAGGATCGGCAGTGATCCGGGAGCAGGAGGCGGCAACAGTAGAGGAGATGGGGACAGTGAGAGCGTCCCAGTGACATCCATGTGACCACCCATGTGATTTACCAGGTGACAGCCAATGTGATGAAAGGTGGCAATTTTGAATAAGTGACAGGCAAGTTCAAAACTTCAGAAGAGTGATGTGGCTTTACAGCTGAAGAAGAGGCAGAATATAAAACATTTTTTTTTTTTTTATTAAAGACCTGGCTAGCAGCCTTGGGAGACCCTGAGACACCCCAGATGTTAAAGAAACAGACCCTTCGTTTATTTCTTTAACCTATCTAACCCCATCAGGAGTCGGGCTCGGCGGAAACAGCTGGGATGGTGTGCGCCCTATGAAGACGAGATCCGAATGTATCGATATGAAAGGGGTTGGCTGTGAGTAACGGCAGGACTTTCTCTATTGTGATTCATCTGGTGTTAATGTTATAGTCTAAATGCACTTCTGAGTATTTAGGGGGTTAGAGGACTGTATTCGGGGGGTTCTCAGTGATTCTCAGTGGGGTGGAATCAGATAGATCACTCCTGCTCCCAAAGTATTTTATAGGAGGGAAAGTCTCTCAGGGGGACAGATAATAAAGCAGCCGTGTATTACAATAAATTCAGTGGCAAAGCATAAGAGATGAGGAGCAAATCCGTCAAAGGGGGGGGGGGGAGTAAAAAACCCCCCAAGCATGTGCGAATACTAGCACAATAAGGAAATACCTACCTCTGCAGGAGAAAAGTCCGGAGAAATTAACCCCTGAGAAACAACAGGAGAGAACTAAGAAAGGGGTGGGAGACCATGCAAGAATGTCACTGGGAACACAAGACACGCACCAGACTTATGACCCGACAAGTGCGGAAAGTACAACGGATCAAAGTGTTATGGAGCAACAAGGAGCAAACATCACAAACACAAAACAGGTATCTATGAAAAATGAATTGTTGGCAAAACGTAAAGATCTGGGTCGAAAATTGGTCGAGGGGAAAATGGAAGCACAGGAGCTCTGGATCACTAAACTTGAGACGCAGATAGAAAATACGCAAAGAGAACAGAGAAAGCTTGCATTTAAATTAGAAGACCAAGAAAATAGAGAAAGAATAAACAATGTAAGGATCCGTGGCTTACCAGAAGACTGTCCAGGAGCTCAGTGATGCCCTGGTCCAGATCTGGAGAAAAAATACCCCAGGACACCATCCATCGTCTCATTAGGAGCATGCCCCGACATTGTCAGGCATGCATACAAGCACATGGGGGCCATACAAACTACTGAGGACCATTTTGATTTGCTGCAATGAAATTTCAGCAAAATGGACTAGCCTGCTGCATCACTTTTTCACTTTGATTTTCTGGAGTGTCCTTGAATTCAGTTGAATTCAGTCCTCTGTAGGTTGATAGTTTTTAATTTTAATCAAACGATGGGGCATCCTTACATTCCTAACACATTACCCCGTCCATATCAGTATAGATATCCAGCATTATATTTTCCCCATTGAGATCTGATGTGTTTTCAAAGTGTTCCTTTCATTTTTTTTTGAGCAGTGTATGTATAAGAGTAGAGATGAGCGAATTATTCAAAAATTCGGTTCGGCTGATTCGCCGAATTCGCCGAAAAAATTCGCTTCGAGCCGAATATATTCGCTGCGAATTTAACTTATAAAAAGGGTGTTTCTAGGCTTCAGAGAGCCTTTATATTAGTGCAGAACACTGTACCTTTAATTTAAATGCCCTTGGAGTCTGCTGGGGAAGAGAAATAATACTGCCAGTCAGTATGACATGCAGATGAGTGCCGTCGATCTTAGAATCACCGCACACTTCACTCATTTGGGCAGTCACGGGGCCAAAACCAGAGTGTGGAGCCACAGTGTGGCGGTGGAGGCAGCAGCAATGGGAGGCCATACAGCACCCTATGACAAAATGGAACCCACCAGCAGTGTGAGGAGACCTGAAAGTGGCACATGGCAGAGTGTGGCGATGGAAACAGCAGCAATGGGAGGCCGTACAGGGACCCATGACACACTCTGGACCTGGCAGCAGCATGAGGAGGCGGTACAGGGGCCCATGACAGATTACGGGCCTGGCAGCAGCATGAGGAGTCGGTATGGGGGCCCATGGCAGATTACGGGCCTGGCAGCAGCATGAGGAGGCGGTACAGGGGCCCATGGCAGAGTGGCGGAGCGTAAGCAGCTAAAATTGAAGGCCATACAGAGGCCTATGTTAAAAAGTCC